CATTTTGTCCCTTCAAACTGGAAAGCTCTGACTAGAGGCAATGACAAAATAATTTTCTGTCACCAGAAATTTCACAAATACTTTTTCTGCAGAAAGAAAGAAGTACACACATTGCTAAAATGAATTTATTATGTACCTCTCAGTTCTTTTAATATTAATCATACCACATGAAGTCATCCTCAAAGTTAAGATAGGAGATAATGCACTTTAACTTCCAGGTTTAGATTTAATTTAAATTTCCTTTAACAGGCTTGTAATGTATTTTTATCGAAGTGCAACATGCAGAGCATTAAACTACCTCTTAAATATTTTTTCCTAGAATACAAAAGATTTAAATAACCCAAAGAAAGATATAGCTCCATTTAGCAGTAAACACATCGGGGTGGAAAATGCCATCTCATGAGAAAACACACAAAAACAAATTGTAAACCACACTAGAGGATTCACATTTACAGAATGACATAAAGGGAAGAGTATTTCTAGCCAAGGATGTGGGGTAGGTGCACCTGAACCCTGTGCTCATTTTTACACAGCAATACTACCCTGAGCTTGCTGCGTCGGTGCCAATGCTACAAAAAGCACTTTATTCGGCCCAGAGCGTGAAGCATATTTTTACAGCAGCCGTGCCAAGAAACGCTACCTTTGAAAACAAGTTGGCAAACTGATCCAGCAGCCCTCCCTCGAAAAAGAAGCCCAAACACAAACGCCCAAAGCCCCTTATCATTTTTGAAGGATTACTTGTCCATCAGTCAGGTCTGTCAGTAGGGCAGAGGGAGCTGCATCTACAGAGAAGCGGGCGCGGTGTGATTAGCCATTCCTACCTCTGTTAATTTGGGTTCTCTCAAGGACCAAATTTAAAGCAAGGTAAGACTGAGAATGTATTCTGCTAAGCTGATTAAAAGGCTTGATTTAGAGGGGGAGTGGGGAGGAGAGGAGAGAGAGGGAGAGAGATCAGCAACATTTAATATATTAATTTTTAAAATATTTTAAACTAAAATTCAGATATTAACATTAATACTTTTTAGGGGATCTATGATTTTTTTTTCACTAATGGCAACAGATGTCCATTCAACAGCTGGAGCAGGAGTGTTTTTGGGGCAACAAATGTGTCAAAGGTGTTCATATCCCCGTTGCGTGTTAGCAAAAGGTCCTGTACCTGTCTTTCTGATGCCCTCTAATAGGGCTCTAGGTTAGCATTAGACTAAGATGCCACTAGGCAGCATTCTACCTAACTTCCCTGAAATCTCTGAATTATTAATTTTTCAACAGTACTTTATGTCAAAATAGCATAATATTTCATTTTATTCTGACACTAGACATTTTCTTCCTTCTCTTCGAAGGTGGTTTTGCTGTAAGGTATTTGCTGTGTATTCCCTCACTACTCTTCTATCACTCTAAAACTTTACAAAAGCCTTTCTGCTCTTAGTTCATTTTAGAGAGCCCCAAACAAATATATTTAGGATTATCATCCACATTTTTTTTTAATCTTCCTTCCAGGGAATTTTGGTTGGTTGGTTGATTGTTTTCTTCATATTCTCTCTACTGTGGCTACTGCATCTTTGGCACTACACAGAGTATGCCCGGTTTGGAAGGAAAATTGCATCTCTAGTCCCGGCACTCCCGTAATCTTCCACTTCCCAAGAAGTAATACACTGAATACAGTTGCAGCTGCTCCAAAAAAGCTAGAAGAGACCACATTAAACTGAGAACTCCAGAAACCAATACAGCAGGGCATAGAACAAGGGTATTAAGCGATTTCCTCCTTCTTCACCAGCCCTGTGAAGACTCTCTCAAAACTTCCCTACTCGACTTCCAGATTCTAACATTGGGAATCAAACATCTCAAAAGCAATCCCATCAACTTGAGGACACATCTGGGAAGCACTAACTGTACTAATCAAGCTTCACAAGTGTTGGTCCATCCATCAACTTAGTAGTACAGTATCCATTGCATTTATACTTCTGGCATTCAAAATATGTCATGCAGCCTAGTCCAATTCCTATTCTACTCTACTAATATCTGAAAAGCAATGTATTAATGAAAAAAGATGGCAAAATGAAGGGGGAAATCTCTACTTGGAATATCTGAAAATCTCATTGGCAACATGGGACTTCTGTAATTATGTGAATACAATTATGTTGTGTGAATATATTCACTTCCACACATGCTATTGTGAGAGATAATAAAAGAACTTAAATATTGAAGTACAACGAGCTCAGGTCCAAAAGTGAGATGCTAAAACTTTTAGAGGCAAAGAGTCTGATGCTTGAAGGAGAGCAAGATAAGGATTTATTATAATTGATTCTATATAGGAAAGCCACAGAAGAGTTAAGATTATTATTGAAATTATTAGTTTCTATAAAGGAACAATGAGATTTTATGCAGGCGAATATCATATGGTACAACAGAGCATTCAATTTAAAAGGGGAAACGGTTGTGAAAGTCAATCTGTGATCAGATTTTAGGCTCACTAATTGGATAACGGTGAAAAGTGCTCTGAGATGTGTTCACTGGTCACACTATTGGTCACACATTTCAATTCTCCTCAGGCTGCAAAACCTCTTCGATTCTGCTCTTAATTTTGACTGCCTGATAAAATCCTCAGCTTTAATTTTTCCCCAAGTTACAAGCCCTCTTAATGAGGGCAGCTTGGAACCACCTCAGCCAAAGCTCACTGCCTAGCATCTCATGAATTCTTAGTTATGCAAAATATGGCCTATGTGTCACCTCCAGCAGTGCTTGCTGACATTGAGAAGTTAGAACGGACCAAATCTGCATTGAATATTCCCAAATTCATAACTTCTTTCCCCAAAAGTATGATACTTGACTGCAATTCCGTGTACTTATCCAGGGGAAAAACACAAATGAAACGGCTTACCCATTAAAGAAGGGAGTTTGGGGTTCTAGTTTCTTAAATATCTCTAACCTTTCTACAACAAAACACTCATTTTCTGTTTCTATTTTTGGCAGATCACGATCTTTAAAAGCACATGGCAAAATCTTCTGATCCAGTTATGACCAACTGCTATTGATTCCATTTAGCATAGCAAGCAAAATCTCTTGACACAATTTTTACAGACCTTTCGTCAAAATACACAGGACACAAATAAGTGGTCTTCAAACGAGGCACAGCAAAGCTTCGGATTTTGAGTAAATCATTTATGCTTCATGTAGGAAGTTTAACTGAAACAGGTAAACGGAGTATCTATAAAGTCTTCTGCCACCTTCTTTTGCATATCCTGCCCCCTTCAAAGATTTGAAACCCCTCCTTCCATGCTATAAAACCTGCAGTTTACTTCGCTGCAGCCATCCAAAGATACTGTTCTAGATACTTCATGAGAAAACAGCCTATAAACAGGCAATACGTGTGCTAAGAGAATTAAAAGCAGCAACACAACACTTTTAAAGAATTAGCACAATACAAGTATGCAACATATTTGATTCATCCAAATACACCTGCATTATGAACTTGATCATCTTTTCCTTTGTTATCAACACTTTTGCATAATTGTGTTCATATTTCTAAAATTCCAGGCATACTTCTGGCTAAAGGCAAGAGTAACATTAAGCAAAAGCAATTACCAAGCAGTGAAGTACTTTTCTTTCAGAAAGCACTTTTCTTTCTAAGAAGCAGACACTACCCATCTATACATTCAAACTGTTAGCAGCCTCCTTCATCTATTCCTCTATTACAGGACTAGTGTAATTCTCTAGCTGCTGGAAAATGGAAATGGTGCCTTTTCCTAGAATTCTTCCAGGAACAAACTAAATAGTGCAAACATGGCAAAACACAAAATAGTGTTGGGAAGAGGAAAAGCCCCAAATCAGGTTTGCTTTCAAGTCATAACTATAAAATAATAAAGCCAACAAAGCTTGGAGTCACACGGCCTTTGCAATAGTGAGTGTGGCAGAATATAAGCGGTTTCTATTAAGCCCTATTTGAAGTCACCATCTATTTTCAGGAATTCATTGGGATCCAAAATTCATTCTCAATTACCAGTTTATCACAATCTGTGATCCAACAAATTACTTTGTTCGCCACCAACACTATAGGTTAGTTGGCTAGGCTATTCCTTATGATAAGAGATTGCAGAGCTCCTTCCTTGTGGGCTCTGTTTTGCTGCAATCACAGGAATCAAAATAACTTGGCTAATATTTTTTCCACTTAAAATTCTTTTGGCTAGTGTGTTCAGCACTGATTCCTTAGTTATCAATTCACTAATTTATTGATTTTTTTCCACTTAAAAGTATATAAAATTAGGCATAAACTAGCAACACAATCCCAAAATTCAACAAGAGAAAATAACTTCTCATGCTTCAATACTATTTCACGTTCTACTGGAAAGACACAATATATCTTCTACCTACATCACTTTACTGAAAATGTTTCCATCATCAGAGGTAACATAATATTGTAGAATCATAAGCTGAAACTCTGTTTTTAAGCTGAGATAATGGTACACGCTCAAGTAATGCTATTATGCTAGAAGAAAATATCTATACAAATATCTAAACTAAGGATAATTCTATTATAATGATCCGATATAAATCCTGATACAAAGCTCCACATTACAACCTGTCTTTCTTGCATTTGTCTTTACAAAAGCAGAAAATATGATTAACCTCCAACACCAAAAGTAGGAATTGGTATATTCCAAAAAACAAGGACAAGGGCATGTCTTTTTATCAAAGTACAATGATTTTTGTCTGCAGGGCTTATATGCCATGCTTTTACACTGCAAAGCCACATGAAAATTACCAATAAGAAAATGAGTATCTTCCAAAACCCCTGCTCACAGTAAAAGGTAAAGAATAAAATGAACAGTTCAACAATTATATTCAATCTATGGTAGGACAGAGAAGAAATATTTTAGGGTCTTTGCAACACACATTTTAAAACTCATTTTGAAAACACAATTATTCAGAAGCCCTCTATAAAACTTTGGTAGAATTCACTAAACCAGATAGTCTTCCAGCACGCAGATGTGGCACTTGCATACCTGTTCTTTAACCGACGCAAGAATTGCAGAGGTCGTCTCCGTTTCGGAGCCATCGCCGTTGGATGTGTTCAACACCGGACTAAGGGAACTTGTCTTATCCGAAGACGAGGGCTGGTCTGGAACAGGCATAGTTTCTGCACATCAGGGGAAAACAAAACAATTGCTTTGTTATTACAAAGATGACAGCTACCAGAAATCACATGCATGTAAGAAAAATATTATTTTAAAGAAGCTGTAGAAGAACATGAATGTTTCAGGGGGGTAATATAGAAGTAATTAATTCATCACCCTTTTTAAACTACTAAGTTAACTTAAAATTAATTTCTAAGACAAAATATTAAATGATCTCCTAGTTTTACAACAAAATATTCACCGCAGCACATTTGGAGAGTATTGAAACCACTTATAGCTTTTTTTTTTTTTTCTAATATATACTATTCCAGTGGCAGCATCCAGCATGAAATTACAACATCATGAAAGAAATTAATCATGAAATGCTTTGCAAACAGAGAGTCGATAAAAGATACATGAGAGAAATATAAACCTTCAAGTATTGATTTTCTAACTTGAATGGCTATTTAATATATAATTCATTTTAAGATAACTTACTCCCCCTAACTTCTTCCTAGTCTAGATGTCTAGACGATTTAGATAGCATTTTATCATAGAGTTGTGGAGGGAGGAAAGAAAATTCTTAGAGCTTACTGTTATTTCTAATATTTGAGGGTGATTATAGAAAGGTATATCTTTCTGAAGATTAAACAATAGCATAGCATCTCGTATCTCTGGATAAATGCTGCTACAGACATATTTCTGCAGGCAAATCAAGCCACTTCCCAGAACTGAATGAGCCCAGAGGCAGCGTGCATGGTTATGTGCAGGTGAGTTAGGCTAAGATCCCATGCACAGGGAAGCTGGCCAAATATGTTTACTTTGTGGGTTGAATCTGGCTTGCAAGGTGCCAGCAGGACACCCCTCCTAAGGGGTTTCCAGCGTGGTGCCATCCGAGGGGTGGCAGGGCACAGCACTTGCCATTTGCCTTGCTGGCACATGTCCTGCCTTGGCTCCATTCTCCTTTCCAGGTCTTCATAAAATAAAACTTCTTATGGAAGTCTGCAAAGGGGAGCTGGGTAAAAGTGACCTAAAAAAAATTCAGAGCCCAGCATAAGCATTTGTGCACAAGCTTTCCATGGAAATGAGGGCTCTTAAAGGAAGGGAGGATGGCAATCTGTAAAAGTTTGGCTCTGTAGCCTTAGTGCTGCCTATGATGGCTCATTCAGCCCAGCCAGGACGTCTTTTCCAAAAGCTTCCTGAAGCTCAGAACACTGGCATGCATACAATGGTAAACACATGAAAAATATAATTATTCATAAAACATCCTCAGTTATTTCACTTAAAGAAAAAATCTCTCTAAATCCTACTCTGGATTAGTTTATAAATTGAGGGATTATATTGTATAGCATAATATATTATTTCTAATTAAAACAGCTGCATATTTTCAAGACTGCCTTTTAGTATGCAAATCATTAAATGTGGTAAATACTGAATCCTTAGCTCTGGTAATGTCCTTGCTTGAGATGCATACACAGCCCCAAGTTAATACTTGAAAATCCAGATGATATACCTGTCTCCTCCTACCACAAGGACAGCATATAAACCTTCCACATGATTCCAACACAGCAATTCAAAATGACCTTTGAATTATATTTTCTTATTCAGTGCCACAGTGTCTCCTGTCATAACAAATCACCAATGTTCTACAATGTAACATATAATTAAATACAGTTAGCAGAAAACAATTACACATTGCTATCTCTCTAAAGTACTACAACAAAATGCATGCGCACTCATACGTGCACATCCCTATTCTACTACCTTACTTCCAATCATCTAAATTTCTTAACTATATATATATACACACACGTATATACTAATTGCAGCATAAGAGAAAGCAAAATGATTTTTCTGTAAATAAATAATTTTTTAAAAGGGATATATGGTCTAATAACTCATTTTGCAGATCTATTTTTCAGCATAAACCTTGGATTGCATCATATTTGCTCCACATCATGAAGCTTGGCTGCAAATTGTGCACAGGAAAGAGAGAGACTGCCAGGATTCAGGAATAAAGTCAGGCTGTGTCGAAAAGGCCCGGCACCTTTGCAGCCACTCAGTGAGGGGCAGTGGGGAGCCCAAACGCTTCCCATTTCTCCAGCAACTTGGAGCAAGTAAAATCCAGAAAACTGGACAAGACTGGAGGTCAAAAACTCCCTGGCCCTGCTCTTGGCTGCTGGAAATTGTCATTTTATGCATGTTTTAATTTTCCTCTTCATTTGAGGAATTAGGAGCCATTATCTCCTGCCTGCCCTTCTCCTACCTCTCCAGCTCCCCAACACAGTGTGTAGCCAGCATATGGGGGTTTATATATAAATCTTCAAAAAAAGTATAATAAACCAACAGGCATAGCGCATATGCTATTTCTCTAGAAACAGAGAAATCACAAGAAATGTTGTTGATACTAAAAGTACTATTTTGTGCATCTATGGAAATATGCAAGTCTTATGCAAATTATCAAATAACTAGGTTTCTTCTGGACATACAATATCATTTCTAATATCTATCTCATTTGCTCAACTTATCCCTACAGTCATTTCAGGAAAAAGACTGCAGCCAATTGCATCTAATAAGCTAATGTCACTGATTCTGCAGTGTGACAATATCTGGCTCAGCTTTTACCATTTTAACATTTTTGTATTACACAAAATCATATGAAAGATCATATGAAACACCTCTCATCAAACCTGCCCGCAGCCTCCTCACTCAATCTGTTCCTAGCCTTCTAGGAAGCTCATTTTGGTGTCTAATATCAGGGTTTCACAGAGCAATTTAAGACCAGAGTTTCCTGTACCATTCATAATGGACACAAAAATGAAATAATTTCACTCTTCTTCATTAAAACTCCAGCACATATGATGACTACTTTCCCCATCCTTCTGCTCTGGGTTCTCTTTACTAGGAAAGCTATCCTTATTCTTAACATCCCCTCTTGTAAATCAGGCTCACTGATAACAACCTCTCAGCTCACGTACAAGTGAGAACAGCAGTGAAAAAGCTAAATGAAAATCAGGTCAAGTGTGGACATGGAAAGTCTCCAAGAAGCTGAACAGGCTACTAGAGAGCACAGTAATGAGAACATGAAGTAAATCTGTTGTATTCAGTTTCCCCAACAGCACCGAGATTCATAGCAGCATCATGAGGCCACGTAACGCAGGGCACCTACAGGCTCCTGAGACAACACGAGTTCAACCCTAGATGATCACGGACAGCCAAAGACAAAAGTATTACCAGCCATTTGGGAACACATTAGGAAGTCAGACATAAATCATTCATAGATTCTCATGCTTAATATGACTGGCAAAATTCTCTTTGGAGTTTAGCCTTGTTTTTTTTTTCCAGGTTGACTTTGTAGGAGTGTCTCAGAATTCTTCCTCACAAACCCACCACGCCCAGGCGCCTTTTGTCTTTAGCAAGAGACAAGAAAAACGGGCCTTGAGGGCTAACGTGAGTGCACTGGCTATTTTAACACCAGCCCTTCCTGATGCCTTCAACAGCACATTGCTCCTCACTCGTTACCTGCAAAGGCTCTGTGACCACAACACCCTCCAGGCATCGGTTGCTCTCACTGCAAAGTAACTGCTTGCAAACAAAAACTGTTAGGCGACTATTCAGTTTTTAGGCCTTTCCCACTTTGTCAAACTCACTTAAAATAAGTCAGCTGATATAAAGGTTATCAGAAGTCAGGCAGAAAGACACTTCATAAACTTAATTTTGTGGGAAAGCACGTTAAAAGCCTTTGCAATGATGATGACTTATCAAAAACGTCAAAAGTTGCCCACAGGCAACTCAGGACATTACTCCTGAGATCAACAGGACCCAGAGGTTCTGTGGGTCTGTTCTTGGGTCAGAGATGAGTAGAAGGTAGCTACATCTGAGACAGCTAAAACCCACCTGTGTGTGGAATTATATTTCAGTGCTCCCTTGCAACCAGAGATTCCAGCGGGGTAGCGAGCAGTAAATATGATAAATTGACAGCCGCGCCGCACCTGGAGCCCTTGCCCTTTTACAGCTCCCCTTAAGTTAGTGAGCGTGTGAAGGATGCCGGGCGCAATGCCATGCCGGGCGCAGCGCCACAGCAATGCAATGGCCCAAGTCACCGAGCACTATACACTGCAGCATTCCTACTTGTCTAGCTAAGGATTTTTTATTTTTTATTCTTTAAAAAAAAAAATAGAGAGAGCGCGCGCGAGCAGAATGACAGGTCATTTCAAGGCAGTATTTTCATATTTTCAACACCCCGGGTTTGTTCTAAGTAATAGCTCTTTTTGGAGAGATTTGATAATATTCACTTTTAATCTGAAATTATTCCCTCTATTCAGTTCCTGTTCAGCTTCAAGTGAGATAGTATCCAACTGTACCAGAGTCATTAAATTGATTAGTTAGGACAATAACATTAACATAATGATGACTAACATAGCTGTTCTTCTATAAACCTATAAACCTATGCCAAATGGAACTCTATTCACATTTTAGTCCCCACATTTTCCATCAGTATGTTTTATACAAATAACAAGCAGGAGTAAATATATGCATAATTCTGAAAGAAAATTGATAATAAATAGTTAAAATGCACTATACACATATTTCGGGTGCATCTATCCCTATGCACCAGCACATATCAGCACACCACTACCCTTGTGCTGACATTTTTTTCCCTTTTGGCTTATAGGAATTTCCAACATGTGTTCATTGCCTCCTGTCCTTTCACTACACATCTTTGAAAAGTGCCTGGCTTCGTCTTCTCTGTTCTCCCATGCTTTTCCTTTCCCCTTCTCTTGCTGTTCCAACATCTTATCTATGAACTTTCGAGCCTTTATCCTATTCAGGTCACTGGGATATTATCGGTAAACTTTAGTCGGAACCACTTTTAAAAACTATTTTCAATGCACCCTAAATGCATAGACTTAAAATCCTTTCCATCAGAACCAAACTCTTCTTAAAGTGAAAGGATGACGGACAGCAATCACAAGCTACAATGTAGGAAATTCTGATAGGACATAAGGAATATGTTA